GCCCCCTCCGGCTCCGGCAAGGTTACCGGGCCCCCTCCCCGGCGCTGCTCCCGCGGCCTCGTGCCCAACACCCCCAGACCGGCGGAGGCCGGGCCCCGCTGGGGTTCCCCCGGTGCAACCCCCCGCTCCGGCCGGGCCACCCGGAGCTGCTGCCCAGGACCACGACCAGAGTCTCCAGGGACGGAGATCCCACCACCTCCCTGGGCAGCCTGTGCCCGTGTCACCCTCACACTGAGGACTGTCCCCCGCTGCTTAGAGGGACCCTCCTGGGGTCCAGTTTGTGCCCATGGCCTCTGGTCCTGGCACTGGGCACCACGGGAAGAGCCTGGCTCTGTCCTCTTGGCACCCTCCCTGCAGGTATTTCTGCACATGGATTCAATCCCCCTGAGCCTTCTCTGCTCCAGGCTGAGCAGCCCCAGCTCCCTCAGCCTTTCCTCATAGGAGGGATGCTCCAGGCCCTTCAGCATCTTAGCGGCCTCTCGCTGGACTCTCTCCAGTCTGTCCACGTCTCTCTTGTACTGGGGAGCCCAGCACTGGACCCAGCACTCCAGGGGTGGCCTCACCAGTGCTGAGCAGAGGGGAAAGATCCCTTCCCTCCACCTGCTGGCAACACTCCTAATGCAGCCCAGGCCGCCATTCGTCACCTTTGCAGCAAGGGCACGCTGCTGATTCACAGTCAACTTGGTGTCCACCAGGACCCCCCGGGGCCTTTTCTGCTGAGCTGCTTTCCAACTGGGTGGCCCTCAGCATGTACTGGTGCTATTGGGTTGTTCCTCCCCAGGGGCAGGACTTTGCACTTCCCCTTGCTGAACTTCACGAGGTTCCTGTCAGCCCATTTCTTCAGCCTGTCCAGATTTCTCTGCACTACAGAGCAGCACGACCCTCTGGTGTACAGCTGCTCCTCCCAGCTTGGTGTCACCTACAAACTTGCTGAGGGTACACTCTGCCCCATCCTCCAGATCATCAATGAAGACGTTAAAAGGGACTGGACCCAGTATTGACCCCTGGGGTACACCAATCGTTACTGGCCTCCAACTAGACTTTGTGCCACTGATCACCACCCTCTGGGCCTGGTCATGCAGCCAGTTTTCAATGCACCTCACTGTCTGCTCATCCAGCCCACACTTCCACTGCGCTCCCCTCGTCTACCAGGCCCATCATCTCATCGCAGAAGGTGATCAGGTTGGCCAGGCACAACCTCCCCTTGGTGAAGCCATGCTGACTTCTCCTGATGACTTGTCCTTCATGTGCTTAGAAATGGTTCCCAGGATTAGTTGTCCCATCGCCTTCCCAGGGACAGAGGTGAGGCAGACCCCCTGTACCTAAACTGTCCTCCCCATACCTGAGCAGTCCCCCCGTACCCAAACAGCCCCCCATATGAAGGCAGCCCCCCTTACACAAACAGTTCCTACGTATCCAAGCAGTCCCCCTGCACCCGAACAGCCTGCCCTTATCCAAGCAGATCTCCTATACCTCAGCCCCCACGCCACACGC